CAAAATACTTATTCTTATTGAAGATAATCTTTTGGATTAGAGATTGTGCCATAAAATTCCACATTCTCCTTAAGGATTTATCTTTGCATTCTCACAATCCCCAATATAGGTCTCTAGGAACAAGCAAAGCAAGCAAAGGCATCATGCCTGCACTCATTACACACAGATTCATTTCAACCTTGACATAATGCCACCATCACCCTTTCATAGCTGAGGGACCTTGCCCAGAGAAATGGAGTAGCCTACCCAGAGCCACCCAGCTCAAGGCTAAAAGGTGTTTCCACCTAGTTTCTCTAGCAATGTCTTTATGACACAGCTCCTCTCCATGAATTACTGCTATCTAGAGTTCAAGAATTAAGGGGGAAAACTTTCCAAATGTCTTGAGCACACAAATCAGTCAACCTCTACTTTTCAATCTTATTTTTAGTCCAGTAAGAGTAATCCTCTTAAAATTAATGAAATGTATCACCTAACAGCACAGACTAAATAAGAATTCCCTACAATGAAATTACCAAAAACTCTGTCTCTGTGATGCAGTAACTCTGTGATGCAGTAACAAATGACATAAAAGCAGCAATGCTCAGGCCCATCTTTACGCATGCAGATTCCATGGTGGCACAGCCTGACAGAAGTCTAGGTGCCCCATTTCAGTTTGTACCATCTGAGGATCATAAAAGTATTTTCCTCAACTGCAAGAATACAGGCAAAACAAGATTAGATTTCAAGTAAACCTAAGATTAGTCAAAACCATGCTTTTGTCAATATCATAGTTGTTTGGCCCATATCCTTGGAGAATCTGTGTGAAATACATGAACTAAATCTGACATTTGATAACATCTACTACTCAAAACAACAGATGGGTTCATACCCATAACAAGACCAAGGAAAGCTTGCTTTAGCCTATCTCTAGGAGTGCAATGACTTCACACCTCTTAAACGATTCCAGACTCTGAAGTGTCTTGATGTGGAGCTAGTTTAGTTATAGGGCTGGTGTCAGCTGCCAGTGGTAAGATGCTGGATGCTGGGACATACAGGAGAAGCCAGTGGATACCTGGGACTTCAAGGTTAGCCTGTGCAGGGGAAGGAACCCTTTGTGATGAGACTCTACATTCAAGTTAGAATTAAGAAGTCAGGAAATAAATGGCAAAAGGCTTGTCATTTTAGTTTGTTAAAACTAATTTTTAACACAGAACTTTGAGATGTACATAATTATCATTAGAGATTTTAATTTTGCCTAATGTTCTGTTTCACCTTATGTTCTCTGATATGTGTGCTTATATAAGATAATGATGAAAAGTGTAGGCAGTGAGGAGGACGAGGAGCTGCATAACAAGGCTCAAATAATCATCATCATTAATGTAATGATCATCACCAGTATTGCACAGGACCCAAAGAAAATATTTATCATAAAAATAATGATGTAGATATAAATTTGTATGCATGAAAGAAGCTTCCTAAGACATACTGCTGCATGAAAAGGAAATTTATATATTAGTATTTAAACTAAATGTCTACTTGTGCAAAATATTATATGCCTACCTACAAATCTGTACATATACAAAATACAGCTTTTGCTATTTACTCTAGGCACTTATCATATATTTGGTACTATGTATATAGTTTTTTGCACTTGTTCTAACTTTTAGTCCTCATATCCTGGAGATCTAAGCATTATGCTCATTTTATAAATGACCAAACAGACTCAAGAAAGTTAAGAGACTTATCTCATACCAGTTATTAAATAGCAAGCCTAGGAGTCCAACCCAGGTCTGTCTAACTCCAAAACCCAACACCGCATATTAAACATTCAGAGAGTTAGCTGTGGAAGGGTGTTTGCCAACATATTAATAGCTGCTATCTCTAGATGGTGAGATTTCTTTTTGTTTTCCAGTATTGTAAGAATATGCTTTTAAAGGGTGCAAGATTTATACCATCTGAAGAGAAACCAGAGTATTGTTAGAGTATATTTTAAAGTGAGCATACATTAGTTTTAACAAAGATGTTTTATCTGGAATGATATATAAGCATGAAAACCTTCCCATGTTACACTTTGCTAACTTTCCATTCCAAGCAGTCCTAAAAGTAATATTTAATCTTCAACTAAGCATGACCAAGTATATATTGATATATCTGGTGAGTTCCCAAAATCATTACATTTAACTTTTGAAAATTTTTGATTATTCCATTTCCAAAAGACCATCCATCTCTAGACTACAATTCTTCCAATACATCCTATATTTATCACCAGATAAGCATTCTTCCTCCCTACTCAACTGCCTTCAATAAGTCCCCATTAGCAAAGCTCAAAAGTGACCTTAGTTTCATCCAAAAACCTTCCAACAATCTCGCCCTACATGTCCTTATTAGTCTCATCTCTCACTGCTCCCCAGTGTAAAGGATACATTCCTACTAAAGTAAAACCACTTGACTTTCAGAATGCCCTATATGGAATGTCGTCTCAATGGATAATCTCTATCAAAGCCCAATCATCTTCCAAGGACCAAGAAGGAAAAGTCAAACTGCAAAATGCAAACTGCTTAATAGATTTTTTCATATAAAGGCATGTAAATAAGAAACATAACTATTAATGCATAAAATAGGCCACGCAAACAAGCACTAAACATTATAAGACATTCAGCATTTACACAGAAAAGTGACAAACTATATTTCATAGAATTCATGACACCATTAATTATAAGAGATACACGTTATGCAGCAGTAGCACTCTGCCAATTAAGGTATGACTCATACACTGGATTTTTAACTTTTTCATTAAAGAGCTATTTTAGGTCTCTTGGGCATACATAAAGAAAATTAACAAAATTAACTGACCAAGGCATACCTAAAAATTCTTCACATGATCAGAATCTAACTTCTGAATTGCATGCTGATTCCATTCTCCCTGTCTATGCTTTTCCAACAACCATCTTCTATGTATCTACACTATTGGTACATCTCTTGAGCGTGCTCTGTCACTGTCTCCAAGGTTTTCTTTCAATCAACTGATACCCAGTCTCCAGTTTTTGATGCACACAATCAATGAACTAAGTTGCCAGCTTTCACTCTGCCACATGTCTGAGGGCACATGTAACACGTATCCTAATTCCAACATGTAGAAAGGAGAAAAAAGAAGTTTGCTTTAGAAATGATGAAGTTTGGGACTTGAATAAAATACACAGAAACTCACTGAGAATGGAAACACTGCATACGCAAAAATGACCAAGGAAAAGAGATCTACAACAAAATTTTTTTTTTCGCTTTTAAAATTCAACACTTGTCACAATCAGTCAACCCTCTTCTCCCCTCTGAGAATTCCCTCTACACTAATGTCCACAATACTCATCAGATCTGGCAGGAAAGGAGCAGGCGGCCTGCACAGCTTCCCTCAAAGAAGCCATTCTCTCTTTCTTGGTACCTGCAGTATTCTTTTCTCTACTGTGGCAAAACCTCCAGAACCTACCTCATTTGAGTTATGGACAGAACAGCAAGCTTACTATGAAGAGGATGATGCCAGGAAAAATGATGACTACATATATGTGTCCAGTTAGTCTCATTTGTAAATAAAGCAGCAGTTAGTTTTCAATCATCTTTTGGTAGTGAAATATGTCACAAACAGCCTCAGTTTTTTTATTCAATGCCATAAGCATCTACTCTAAGTATGTAGGCCTACAATTGGTTTGGGGATAAAACTCCAAGAAAAATAAGTTCCCATTCACATCAAGCACTCACTCAGTATAACTGGAAAGAAAAAGTCACGGCAGGTTAAATACTGCATTTGTTTTCTAGGTCTAATACAGATTTTTCTGTCGTTGTTTTTTTAAGCATATAAGAAAAAGCTGTAAGAACAACGTATCAAAATGTCAGCAATCTAAAAATTAAGTTGTCAGCCTTTTCCCCTTACGCAAATTACGAAAGAATTAGGGGTTTTGTGCTAATAGAAGCTTACAATCCTAAAGTGTGCAATTTAACCAATCATTGAAAGGTCTAAAAATGCAGTACTGAAGACATTTCAACCAAGTAAACTGCAGTTCTGGTACCTAATTTCAACTTCTCTACTTGCGCCATTCTTCCCATTTTTTTCCTTCCCTTTCTTGGAAATTATGTTCTGGAATGGCTACACAGTTAACTGCTCAGGGTTCCTGTATACCTAAGACATTCACATTAAAAAAAAAAAAAAAGACAGTCCTCTTACCAAGGAGGTACAGAGATGAAAATGGACATAAACAAATATTCTGTGGTTCTTCCTTTCTTTATGCTCACATCACACTCAATTCAGATATCAAAACATAAAATATACTTATTTTACAAGTATATACACTTTATAGCTTCAGTATTTCAGACTTCCTTTATAATTTGTTCAACACTAATACAGGTGAAATGTTTTGATGTTCACCTCCACACCAGAATTCTAAGTCAAGATTAAAATGCTAAATCATAAAAATAATTTGCAAATAAAACAAACACTTAAATGGAAATAAATTACCAAAAATCACTGTAGATATCTTCAAAACTTGTGAAATCTCTAGCTTATTAACTTTTCCCATTGCCAACTGAAACATCATCACTTAAAAATATATCAGACAGAACACTGCCGACAAGAAAATAACCTATCTGCATAAACACCACATACTTTTATTTTTTTTTTAATTTTTTTCCACCACATACTTTTAAAGAAAATACAAACAGAAACCGAGAACCTGGCAAGAATGCTATTTTTGGTACAAAGAAAAGTAAGAAATATATTAATTCTATGCGTAAATAAAAAATAAGCTCACTACTCTTGTTCTTAGGATAATTTTTAAATAGTCCTTTTTAAAGATATTTTCCTCATTAAAGAATATTCAATGATTTTTACTATTTCACAAACTTTTTTTCTTGATCTATAAAACACACTTTCTCATGTAGTTTTGTATTCAAAGCTACCTTACAATTTCCTATTTCACAAAAACATTTTAATCTATAAAATACACTTTCCCCTGCAATCTTGCATTCATAGCTACCTTCCAGTTCTCCAAACAGTACCTTCCGATGCAGTTCAATTTGAGAAAGGAGAATCTCATTCATTCATCAGGCAAAGGTTAAGCCAGCAAGGCACTTCAGGCTGCTGGTTTTGCCAGCCCCACCCTTGTTTCCTTTGAGACACAGTGATGTCACAACACCAGGCAGGGTATGACTTCACCGCTCAAGTCCTTGCTCTGAGCGCATATTTCTTTACAGGCAAAGCAAATCAAATGACAGCAGAGCCCTCCAGGAATGTCTGATGAATTCTCAACAAATTAGCAGGCAGCTAGCCTTTTGAAAGAAATAGATGCAGCAATTGTACAACTAACGATCTCTCTAAATGAAGTGGTGCTAAAGATAAATTTGATTCATGGTTTTCAAGAGTAAGCTTATATTCCACAACAAAGCTGATATTCAGGGGAAAATTATAGTTGGATACCTGAATGAGAGTATGGGCACTAAAGATGACCAGGATAGTAGAGTACTTATGAAATCTTTCTGTTCCTCAAAGTGAATTTACAGAGAAGAAACCTGTATTTACTTTGCAGACTACTCTTGGTGTTCAATTTTACTAGAGAGAACAGGAATTCTAATTTGTATATTTTAAGACTTTTAAAAGTACCAAATTAAACTATGACTGTATTTTACAAGATGGAGGAAAAATATCCTGAATGAATGTTCTTGACATCCTTAAACATTAGTAAATCCAGAAAAGATTCACAACATAACAATACCACATCTCTGAAACATGAAAGATTGTCTATTACCTGGGTGGGCCCTCACTGCATTTCAGCAACCAGTTTTTAAAAGGCAACATATAAATAAAATAGCATCTGATCAATTAAAAATAGCCTTGATCTCCTATTTCTACACAATTCAAATATGATAAAAGTTCAAGCACTGCAAAAATACTGACGAAATTGCTTTTAATTTAAATCAAACTCATGGTGACTTAAAAATTAAATGTTAATATTTCATTGAGGCATTGACCTTTAATCTACATCTTCTCCTAAGCCTTCATTTAAAGAGTTTACAAATTAAATGAAGTGATTAACCTTTTCATTATAGATAGATCATTCACAAGACATCTTGTTTTGCACAAAGTATTTTGCCTAAAGAATTTTAGCTAGTTGGGGCCTCCCTGGTGGCCTAGGGATTAAATCCCTATCAACACCATGGCCTGAGTTCGATCTCTGGCCAGGGAACTAACCTACATATGGCAAAGCAGACCTCTCCTGTCTCACCCACTGCTCCCCTCGGCAGGGTATTTCAGTAGATCTGCCTGTTCTGCTCCCCACTCTGTCTCTGGTGAATCCTCTCACCTTCTGCACCTCTGGCCTACACTCCAGTTCTTCTATGCATAAATAGATAAAAAATAAATCTTTTTAAAAAAGATTTTTAGCTAGCTTCACTTTATGCAGTAACTTGTGCTACTGCCATCTCACTTTTCAGAAAATCTTCATGCAAATGACAGTATTTCGTATTTATTTAATTTCATCCATGCTTTCTGAAATTAACTAATGTAAAGCTTCTACATTTAGAATTTATTTCCTCTTGAAATAACTGCTACTCCAACTAGAGTTTTAAAAGTTTGATACCAAAATTACCATGCATTTTTTTAAACACTGGCTGAACCAAGCTATAAATCATCTCCCATTCCCCAGAGTTCACACAGGCTTGATGCACTGCTGCCTTTTCTTAGTAAGGCTCTTCTGCTTTATTTATTTTAACTGGTGCAACGTCCATGGCTACCAGATATAAATGGAGCTTTATCATTTTTGCTTTCTTGAAACTTTAAAAAATCAGTGCAAAATTTAAAAAGAATGTTTTTAGCACTTGGTGTGAGAACTCTTCTTCTGAGAAAGTTAATGCAATCAAGAGAAACTCCAACACACCTGGCCAGCTCACAGCGCCCAACATGGGTCCAAAACAAAAAGACAGGATATCTGCAAATGCAATTCCGCAAGACTAAAGTGAAAAGGCTGAAACGCCAACTTAATCACGTAATGGAAGCTGGACTGCCTGGCTCTCAGGATTTCTCAGCCCAGCCTCCACACGTAATTAATACCACATGTTTTCTTTATCATTCCATTTGTTCCGCAACAATCTCCCCAACTTTAACCCTGGGCTGCAAGTGGAGGAGAAAATCCCAGAAAACTTTGGATCCGTAAAATAAAAACCGAAGAGGACAGATTGCTCCCACCGCAAAGAACCACAGTTACAATTTACTAGGCAACCACACCCACCGCATTGCAGAAGCCATGAACTTGGCGGGGGCTGGAGGGGGGAGGGTCGAGAGGGAGAAGTAGGGCGAGAAAAGAGGGGGAACCCGAGTGAGTGAGACCCCGCAGCGGGGGCCCAGAAACACCCGCCTGGAACCGGCGGAGCCCACGACTCCCGCGGTCAGGGGCCCGGCCCTCCCCGCCCCCACGCGCCGCAGTGGCCCTCGGGGACGCCATCCCGGACCGCTCGCCGCCGCCCCGCCGCCAGGTGAGCAGCGCCGCCCCCGGGCCCGCCGCCGCAGGCCCGCCCGGGCCTCCCGGAGCAGGAGTCCCGGGGAGTGGAGGCGGCAGCCCGGGGCCCGCAGGTGCCCCGGCTCGGAGCCACGTCTCCAGGGCACTCCCTACTCCCGCTGGAGCGGCCGGCGGTAGCCCCCGCTGGGGAAGGAGACAAGTTACATAAAAGCGGCCGTCCGGCTCCCGAGCGGGGATGCTTTGTGGCAGCGCACCTTCCCGGCCCCGCGCCCGCCCGCCCGCCCGCAGCCTCCGCGCGCGGGGCGCTCCGCGCAGGGCCCCCCCCGCCCGCCGCCCCCGGCGGCGCCGCAGCGGCGTCCCCTGCGCCCCGCCCGCCCCCGCGCAGCCCGGCTTCCCGCGCCCCCACCCCAAGGGGTAACTTAAAACATGGCGCCCCGAACGGGGAATTTTGGCAAATTGACAGCTCAGGGACGCGGGGACCGAGTCACCCCTCTCGGCTAGGGCTCCGGGGAGGCCCCCAGGCCGGAGGCCGGCGCGGAGGCTCCGCGCGCCGGCCCGGCAGCTACTGCGGCGCGGCCAGCGGGCACGTCCCTCCGCGCGGGTCCTGGCGCCCCGGCTCCGGCTGCGGGGGTCCCGGCGGAGGGCCGGGTGCAGGGGCCGGGCTGCGTGCGGGGCTCCCCCCGATTCGGGTGGCGGTGCGGCGGCGGGGCCACGAGTCAGCCGAGCCTCCCCGCGCGCTCTGCTCCCGGCCTCCGGCTCGTCCTCTGCACCTCGCCACCTAGAGACCCCCGATCCCCCCGCTCGGGCAGGCACAAAAGTTACCTCGGCTGGGCCGGGGGCCCGGGCGCGCTGCGGCGTGGGGACTCGCTCGGGCTCGCGGCCTCTCGGCGGTGCGCAGGAGGCTCGGGCGTGGGGAGCGAGCCGCAGACGCGGGCTGCTCGCCGCGGCTCCCCCGCCCGCCTTTGCAGGAGACACGGAGGCTCCGCGGAGCTGCGGCGGGGGCACACGCCCAGAGACAGCGCAGAGAAAGCCAACCTCGTCCTGACTTCGCCTCCCGGCTGCGGGGGAGGGGGCCACCGCAGTACTTCAGACAGTTACGTTGTCACGGCCTCTCCATCCTGGCGCAGGGTCAGGCTCCCGGACAGCGCCTGGAGACCGCTGCCTGCCTCTTTAGCCTCTGGATTCCCACTTAGATTACTGTCCAGCTCTGTCCCTACTCCTCACCCCTCCCAGACACCCCCTGTGAGGATGGTGGGCGGGGGGAGGTGCAACTGACCTTCAAGAGAGTTGATTTATTGGCTCGGGCACTGCAGTAATTGTTGTTTGCAAGAAAAAAATTCAAATTGGCCGCGTCTTGCATAGGGTGGGTGTTGAAGATATATTAAGTTAATAGAGAAGACCTGAATTTAAGGTTAGGGAAGAGGTTTACGGTCTTAACAGCACCCTCCTTCCTACGATCTCCGCCCCACCCCCAGCCACTCCCCACCATCAATGTTCACACTTACAGGTGGTCTCATAAGCTCTTCTTCCCAACCTAACGGGGAAATTATTATTGATAATGCTTTTTCCACTGAAACGGAGAGGAGCAGGCTCACATTCTGATTTTGTAGGCAAAGGAAATTACTCCTGGTAGCCTCCCAGTATCTAAACCTCTACCCAAGTAACCAAGGCATATTTATTAAACTGATTAAGGCTCCCTCCAAATACTTAGTCACCCCTCCAGGAGCTCACTGACTCATTTAGGGAGGGGAAAATGGATTCAGAAATACTGCATTTAAAATCGGGTGCCAAAGATGGAATGCACAATAAAATGCCTGTGGCAGAGATTAGTGGGCCTGGTTTGTGGGTGAGGCCTCAGGAGGTGAGGAGACTTGAACTGGGTTTTTAGGACAGGAAAAGGGGCAATAAAGGGAGGGAGTGCATTTTTCAAGCTGCATGGGAGATATGGAAGAGAGGTTCGCAAAAATTATGGTTGCTATTTGTATGACGCTTATGGACCTGTATTCTGTAGAACATAGGCAGATTTGGGAAATTCTGAGCAAGAAAATGTGACCAGTTGTTTTAGGAAGAATAATCTGATGACACTACTGAGTCTACAAGGGAGCTGCTAGGGAGTGACTGTGGCTTTTTCCAAATGTCAGAGGTAGCAAGGACCTGAACTGTTTTACAGGCAGCAGATAAAGGCGACAGTTCAAATACCAGGGGATATGTTTTGAGATTACCTCTTATTAATTTCCTATCAGGTGAATCTTGGAGACTTATATACACACACATAAAATGTACATATGCAACTGTTTATACTATATTGCATATAAGATCTCACCCTACGCGAGATCTCACCCTATGCAAGACACGGATTCATTTTCCTTTGTGTGTGTGTGCATGCACTAACGCACTCTCCTTTAAAACTGGATTTGAACAATTGTATTACTTAAACACTAGGTTGGTATTACCATTGGAGACACAGATTTTCATTCATTTTATTGGCATATTTTTGCTATTTTTTTAAATGCAAGCAAATTCTTTTCTTCCTGACTCATGAATCTTAATCTTTATGGTGTTGGAGTCAAAATCAGCAATAGTGTATGAATTACTATTTTCTTGGGAAAAACTATTAGAGTACCAACATTTTTTTAAACTAGAGGTACCTGATTATCTCAATATTCTATGAATTCAAAATTTTGAGTGAAAGCTAACTGTGCTTCAAAGTGTAATAAAAAATCTGGGAAGCAGTTACTATAAAGACCCTTTGAACCTCACCAAGGCTCTCTGCTGTTCATTTTGCTTGCTTGTTTTTCAGCACAGATATTGAGGGAAAAAGATGCCAAACAAAAACTCATGTGCAGCATGTATAACTTTGTCTGTATATTCTTTCTACCTGTTAATATCATGCAGGAGCCCCTCTCAGTCATCTCTGTCTCCCCACAGTGCCTCACTGTGTACACTGCAAGTCAATGTAAAAACTTAATATTTTTTTTGCTAAATGAATGAATGGATGTTGATTAATGAGCTAAACTGTTACTTTTCTTTGAGGGCTCAGTTTCCTCATGTAGGAATTAAGGGACTATTTCCAAAATTCCTTATGATTCAAAAAATGCTGGGTTCCATGAAATAAAAAGACATCATCACATCCTAGTACATGAGTGAAAAGCAATAATGAAAAACCTATTTAGATCTCATAATGACATACAATAATGAGTTCTATTATTAATATAACATAGAAAAGAGAAGTAACGAAATACAGCAGAAGGCAAGGTGATGAAACCCTTAGAGTTAGAATTACATGCTTTCATAAAAGACTAACTTCTCCCTGCCTCTCTTTCCCTACCAAAAATAAATCTGCCTGCACTCCCAGCGAATTCTTTATGCTTGTCAGTATGAAGCCCCTCATGGCCCTTTTAAAGTAAGTTACAGAAAGTCATTTCTTGGGTCAACGCAATGCCTTTCATACAGTCCCAGAACTAGTGCAGAATTAACATGAGAACTCTGTTGAGTAGATTCCTAAATTATCATATCCACACAGCAAATACTGAAATAATCCATGAAATGTGAAGATAGAGTCTATGACTCCAGACTAGCTCTCAGGAAGCCCTTTCTGATCACTACCCACTATACTAAGGCTTAGCCTACATGGACAATCTTATTTTGGGGGTTCCTAGAATTACCTTAAAGTGTATATAAAAAATATCACTGAAGGCCAAGATTCTAGTTATGGTGCATAGAAAAGGCGCACAACTAACTTTAGGTAAGAAGCTATAAAGACAGGATTCTGCAGGAACCTCCATCCACCCACAGACCTCCATAGCATACACTGGTGCCCTGCTATCCCAATTGTCTGATAACTGCAAGCTTATTGCTAACGTGAAGACAGAATTTGCAGGGCCTATTACCAACACATGATCTGTCTCATTGACAATACTCCAGAAAGAAATAGAGAATCTGTCCAGTGAGCCCACCAGAGATTTGCTCTCAAACAGCAGGAAGACTCTGGAAGCTTGACCAAGCCCTGCATATGCACCTTAAATAATCATCCAACACTCATTTGCCACTCTTTGATAATCTCAAGACTCCTCTTGCATAAAGCATTGTGATATTTAAAAATATCTACATATTGTTCAGTCCTTTAAGTTAACTTTTCCAACTAGCTGCCATAATAAAATGTTAACAACACTTGCAGTAACTAGTCAAAGCTTATTTTATGCTCTGGATAATATTGGGCATCTGAATTGCATATCTAGTTCCTGAAATCAGGACACAAACTATTCAGTCACAGAATTCCTGGGGGCCATAAATAAGAGAAATACAGGGATGAATGCATAATTCAAAAGTAACAAGCTTATTCTTCTGAAATAAAAATTTAAGAGTTACTAGGTTCTAAGAACAGCATCAAGCTTATAGCTCATTAAGTCTTCCAGATACTGACTTCATTCTGAGTTTGTATACATCATTTCAGGGGTATGTGTACTACATGTAGAGCACAGATGTAAAATGAAATTTAAAAGACACCAGTAAGTACAAATGCAGCACAAAATGTACAAATTTATGTTCATATGAGAGGGAACAAGTTTAGAAATACTAATCCAACATTAAAAAATTCATTCCTACTTATCAAAATTTCATTTTACCCTTTTTAACTCTGTGTGCTTGTAAAAATATAGGTCTGTAAGTGAAAGGTGGGGTCAGTACATATAAATTCTGTTGTATTAAAATATACCCTTACTAAATCACTTTTTACTTTCTCCATTTCTATTAAATTTTAGAAATAAATCTCACAACTTAAATAGAATAATTTCTAACAATAAAATGCCATTTCTTTATAAAGTTTAAATGTTTGATAATTCTATTCTTCCCCCTTACATAAAAATAAAAAATACATTAAGAATATTGTATATTTGGGTATTTAATATATAATAATAAAGACAGAAAGAGTAGGAGTTGGTAATTGCATTATTACTAAATTCAGTCCCCAAACTATTCTCCATTTGAAAAATACATTGCTATCCCAAACAGATGCTC